ACACCTCTAGATCTGTACTGGCTAGGGCAGACAATACCCATATACACACCTCTAGATCTGTACTGGCTAGGGCAGACCATACCCATATATACACCTCTATATCTGTACTGGCTAGGGCAGACAATACCCATATACACACCTCTAGATCTGTACTGGCTAGGGCAGACCAAACCCATATATACACCTTTAGATCTGTACTGGCTAGGGCAGACCATACCCATATATACACCTCTAGATCTGTACTGGCTAGTACAGACAATACCCCTATATACACCTCTAGATCTGTACTAGCTAGGGCAGACAATACCCATATACACACCTCTAGATCTGTACTGGCTAGGGCAGACCATACCCATATATACACCACCTTTAGATCTGTACTGGCTAGGGCAGACCATACCCATATACACACCTCTAGATCTGTACTGGCTAGGGCAGACAATACCCCTATATACATCTCTAGATCTATACTGGTTAGTACAGACAATACCCCTATATACACCTCTAGATCTGTACTGGCTAGGGCAGACCATACCCATATACACACCTCTAGATCTGTACTAGCTAGGGCAGATAATACCCATATACACACCTCTAGATCTGTACTGGCTAGGGCAGACCATACCCATATATACACCACCTTTAGATCTGTACTGGCTAGGGCAGACCATACCCATATATACACCTCTAGATCTGTACTGGCTAGGGCAGACCATACCCATATACACACCTCTAGATCTGTACTAGCTAGGGCAGACAATACCCATATACACACCTCTAGATCTGTACTGGCTAGTACAGACAATACCCCTATATACATCTCTAGATCTATACTGACTAGGGCAGACAATACCCCTATACACACCTCTAGATTTGTACTGGCTAGGGCAGACCATACCCATATATACACCTCTATATCTGTACTGGCTAGTTACATACCATACCCCTATACACACCTCTAGATCTGTACTGGCTAGTTACATACCATACCCCTATACACACCTCTAGATCTGTACTGGCTAGGGCAGACCATACCCATATATACACCTCTAGATCTGTACTGGCTAGTTACATACCATACCCCTATACACACCTCTATATCTGTACTGGCTAGTTACATACCATACCCCTATACACACCTCTAGATCTGTACTGGCTAGTTACATACCATACCCCTTGACACACCTCTAGATCTGTACTGGCTAGGGCAGACCATACCCCTATATACACCTCTAGATCTGTACTGGCTAGTTACATACCATACCCCTATACACACCTCTAGATCTGTACTGGCAAGGGCAGACCATACCCATATATACACATCTAGATCTGTACTGGCTAGGGCAGACCATACCCCTATATACACCTCTAGATCTGTACTGGCTAGTACATACCATAACCCCTACACGTACCTCTAGATCTGTACAGGCCAAGGCAGACCATATCCCTATATACACCTCTAGATCTATACTGACTAGGGCAGACAATACCCCTATATACATCTCTAGATCTATACTGGTTAGTACAGACCATACCCCTATATACACCTCTAGATCTGTACAGGCCAAGGCAGACCATATCCCTATATACACCTCTAGATCTATACTGACTAGGGCAGACCATACCCATATACACACCTCTAGATCTGTACTGGCTAGTACAGACAATACCCCTATATACACCTCTAGATCTGTACAGGCCAAGGCAGACCATATCCCTATATACACCTCTAGATCTGTACTGGTCAGGAAAGAACAGGACAGACCATAGCCCTACACACACCTCTAGATCTGTACAGGCTAGGACAGACCATAACCTTATATGCCCCTCTAGATCTGTACAGGCCAAGGCAGACCATACCTCTATATACACCTCAAGATATGTACTGGCCAGGACAGACGATACCCTTACACACACCTCAAGATCTGTACTGGCTAGTACATACCATACCCCCCTACACACACCTCAAGATATGTACTGGCCAAGACAGACCATACCCCTTGACACACCTCAAGATCTGTACTGGCTACTACATACCATACCCCTATATACACCTCTAGATCTGTACATGGCTCGGACAGACTATACCCTAGACTGGCAAAGTTGGGACTTCTTTTTTGTTTTACAAAAAGTAATAGTTAATTGTTCTTTTAGTCCTTTTAGCGTGATCGCGAAAACTAACCTGACCAAGAAATTCTGACTGGACGCATCTGCAGGCATTTGACTGCTTTTAATTATTCATGATGTCATTGATTATTCATGACTGGGTGTGTGTCAGTAAACATGACCTTTTAAAGGTTGATTCGATTCAAACGCAGAGATGGATACTTTAACTTTCCAAGTGCGAAGGCGATACTTTCATCCATGTTTACTGAAAACAAGTCGATTTAAATGTCCAATGTATATAACTAATCTTTCGAAATCGTTGAGACCTCAGAAGTGAAAGGTCACGTACATTAACATGATTGCCAGTCTAACCATACCCTTGTACATACCTCTAGATCTGTACCGGCTAGTACAGCCCAGCGTAAATTACAGTTTTGTAAATTAGCATTTTTCAAGGTTGCAACTCGTAAATTTACACCAGCCATCTGACTGCTCTCCAGGTCAACACCCTTCATGTTTACACCTGCAATAGAAAATAAATATGAACTGTAATCATAATGGAGTTATTTATTGCAAAAGTACTTAAATCTATGTGATATATGCTGTAGCTATTATTGCTTGACAACAGCACAAGAATAAGGGATGTTTTATTTGCCCTGCTGTGCATGTCGGGTCATACCTTCCATATTTGCTTTGCTGCCAGCGGGATCTTCAAAGTTACACCCACGTAGTGATGCACCTTCCAGATTAGCCAGGACCATTTTGACACCAATCAAGTTAGCTCCCTGCAAAACAACAATTAGTAATGTGTATAATAATAATTGTTTATTGCATCTTTAGAAAGACAAATTTCTTTTAGTATATAGCAATAAAAATATTAATTAATGCAAATACCTGAAATACCTGGTAAAATATAACAAGTTAGTAAGAAGTATCAAGTTTGTGCGTTGTTGGAATGCCATGAAGATGAACTGTGCAACATGCTTATTTGAGGTTTTGTCCGTTATTTTCATTGAAAATTGAAATTATAACTTTTAATTTCCTTTGGGAGTATTATATGTGAGAACAAATCTTGTAATGTCATGTATTTTGGACAAACTATGAGTAAATCTTCTACTTGATGCGCATCACAATATATTCAAATAATCTTGTTAAACTTTGAATATGTATGTAATTTGTTATCATCTTTCATCATGTTTAATCACCAATGATAAGTAAATTTTTGATACACTTTGATAATCAAATTTTTGGATTTTGAGTTTAAGATTCTGCATCTCAATGAATTCTGATTAATTTCCGTCAACATGTTTTTTATTATTGACATCCAAATACAACTATTATGAGGATTGATTTGTTCATTGTATGCCCATATGAATATGAATTGGCAATCTATTGATATCAAACTAATTTCATTATGGTAAATGAATGACATCTTGAAATATCTAAATGTTTCAGTTTGACAAATATGTTCTTGGAATACTGCGACAAAAGAAACATACACATAATATGTAAAATTTGATTTCACATTTTTTGAAATACTTATTCCTTAAAACAATTTGTTATGTTATGTGGAAGTTGCAAGTTATTAATTTGCATGTTTTTCAATATACTACTTTGAATTTTCAGCAATCGGACTGCTCATTATCAAGAAGTCGCTTATATAATCAATTGAAACTGACAAAAAGTATTCACTATAAATAGAAAATTGAAGATATCATCACAAAAGAAACATTTCTCATAGAGATCCATCCAAGGTATGGGTGACGTGAGATGGACAAAAAACGATATCACCATCTCTACTCTTTGATGACATCAGAGCTAAGAATACATATAAAATGTAGTACCAACATTTTGGTT